GATGTAAAACCGCCCATAGTCTCTACAAACTTCCGCCAAAACATCTACAATAAATTTGAAAAAGTTATACTAAAATGAATTAAAGCATCTTTATTGAAACAATTGTTTTAAATTACCAAATATATTTCTAGTTGAGGTGGTAGAGTAGGTCGGAAGAAAAAACATATCGATTTTGGGAAAATTTCAGAGCATTTTAATTAAAATTGATCAAACTACGTGTCATTATTCACCAAAACTTTGATCTTATTCAAACAAAAAAATATCCAGAATCAAATAGTACCAAACTTTCTAACATCCGCAAATTTTAAATTATGAATTTGAAAATTCAAGGGGTTAAATTGCACTTTCCAGCATTTTTATACCTGTCGCATTGATGGTTTAAAAAACATCATACTTAAAAATAAACATTTTTGGAGAATATTTTGAAAATGTAAAGTGTCGTCCTGATAAGACCGCCTACCAAAAATTCAAAATTTGAATGCAGTGGTGTATATACGCGGTCAGAAACAAACGGAAATAGCAATTATTCCCAAATGGGGAAATAGCAAATAATGGTGTAAAGGTGTAGGCGAACAGCTAATATTTTTATGAATAATTCCAACTAAGCTATAGAGTCATATGTGTGAATAAATATTATATCGTTTACTATCTTACACGCGTGCGAATGATTGAGTTATTGGTGATTGAGTCCGTCTTAGCAAGTATATCACAGATCTATGCCCGTGATTTAATAGTCGAGTATGATCTATATGTCGATGAAGAGTCTGTCGATCTTATCTCGATGTCAAGATTCGAGTATTACTGTTCAGAGTGTCCAAGTCAGTCTGTCCTACTTTGTCAAGTCAGTCCTCGCCTGCGTAAGCTCTGCTTTCCGTACATGTCTGGCGCATCACGTCCTTAGATTCACCATGTTCCCAGAGTTGCTCTATAGGCGGTCTCGTCCTCAATGTCTCATGCCGTCTACATCCGTGTTCAACTCCAAGTGTCTCCCTCTACAATTCTGTGCTCTATCCGATCCAGTGTTATGTGTCTCCTGAGCGTTGTTACACCATGGTTCGCCACGATCTGTTCGCCACTCCTTTTGTCAAGTCCAGAGCTCGTGTCCCCTACGTTGATTCTCAATATGTCAGGCTACTTGTGTTTTACGTTGATATCAAGTCCATGAGTACCTACCTGTATAATTGTTGCATATAGTCCAGTCTGTCTTTACTTATCATAGTCAATTTCTGTCGTATGCTCGATTGTACCATATGAGCGTTCGATGACATGTTCACCTATTTGTTAACGTTCACCGTCCAATACGAGGAATGCGTGTCTACATGCATTTTGTCAAATTACGTGACATCCACAGAAGCATGTGCGTGTCGAGTGGACAACTTAGTCCGTCACACTACTCATGTTAAGTCTTGTCTCTCCAATATTGTTTTTGACTGTTGGTCCAAGATCAGCTCAGCTAGAACAAGATTGTTGCATTAGTCATATGATCGCGATCTGAGTATGTCATCCAAATTCCAGAGTGTATCTTTCTTAATATCCTAGTTGTCAAGAATCCTATGTACTAGAACCCTACGTTACGTATGTTACTAATGTCCAATTCGTTCTACGATCGTCTAAAGTTCGGATTACTTGAGTCTAGAGCGACACTGTTATCTGATATTGTCACAGTCGACTCTGTTCTTAGGATCTGAACCTAGAGTACAATTGTCGAGCTATTCAGTCGTTGATGTGTCTCTTTGTACGTTCAGGCGCAAAGTCACGTCGCGATGTGATGCGTGTCGTCTACCAGGGCGTATCTGAGAGCTACTGCTACTCGAGCAGCCTAGGTTCTAAGATACATTCTGTCTAAAAATACCATAGGATCAAGGTCACAGAGTGCGTGAGCGATTTTCCCGCATAACAGAGATACGAAAGTCTTAGAGCCTTGTGCGATCTATCGCGTGTAGTGTCAGAGTCGAGAGTCGTGTGCGTAAGCGTTTCAAGTCAGTCTGTCTAACAGGTTGTCAAGTCAGTCTGTCTACGTTGTACAAGTCCAGAGTCTGTCGAACCGTTTGTCCAAGTCAGTCTGTACTACGATGTCAAGTCAGTCTGTCTACGTTGTCAAGTCAGTCTTGTCTGATCTGTGTACGTTGTCAAGTCAGTGCGTGTGTCTGATCTGTTACGTTGCAAGTCACGTCTGTAGGTCTGTCTGTACGTTGCAAGTCACCGTTTGTGTAGTAAAGCTGATTACAAAGTGTGTCCAAGTTCCAGTGTGTGAGAGTTCTGTCTGTAGGAAGTGATCGAAATGTCACCCGTGTGTGATGCATAGAGTCATGGTTGACAGGTATAGAATCAACGATCAGAAGTGTGAGATCTGTCAGACAGTTAGACTCTCACTCACAAACTGTAAAGTACTGTACTTAGATACGATACTATCTATCACTCCATCGCAGTTTGTATGTCGGTCATGTGAGATACAGATGGCCTCAGTGGTCATATAAGCTCAGTAGGTGCTTCCTGTCGTGTTACATGTTTTCCATAGTCATGATTAGTAGTCACATAGTTGTTTGTATACGTTGGTGGCTAGACGCATATAGCGTTCTGCTCGTTGCTGTTTCCTGATCTAGAGCAGCACAGATCTCACCACCCTAGAGTGCTAAGAATCGTATCGTTAGGCAATATACAAGTACCGTTTGTACCCTCAAGTATGCATTTGGTCAAAGGCGAGCGTGAGTGATGAGTCAATGTGCCTGTAGGCGCAATGATATCACAATCAATGCTGGGCCGTGATCTGTCTGGTAGCGGTTTGGCACAACAGGTCAGAGCGTGATGTGCGATCGTTCCTGGCTTTTATCAGCATCTATTGCGTACGAGGTCAGGTCCATAGTAATGACTCCTTGTCTGTAGTAGTCGGCTTGGAGTTCTAAGTCAGTCTGTAGATCATGTGCGTAGTTTAGTGTTTTGAACGAGTCAGAGCGGTCAATAGAGAAGTCTAGCCGTTACTGTCGAGCTCTGTCGCGTCAATACGAGTGATGCCAGATGCATATTAGGTCCGATCCTAAGTAGCGTAAGTGCTGCACACCAGTCACGAGGTATCTGATTAGAGTCTTGTATCATGCTTAGTAATAAGACAAAAGGAGTTCCGCTCGAATCGTGCTCATTGAAAGTGATGCGTGACACGCTTGACTAGTTTCTAGAGAATCTCCTAGTGAGATATCTATTAGTATGGCTATATGAGCCATCTATATTGTCTTCTCCTAGTTGTAATCAGGTGAGCGTGCGTGGTAGCTACATATATATATACCGATTGTCTCAATGGCACAGAAGTCAGACGTCTGCTGTCTGTCTGCTGTGACGGCCACCGAGTTGGCCATCGGTCCTAAGCGTCTAGTCATAGTAGTGTACCATCATCAAATTGTCTCACTGGATCCATATTCACGAGTCACTGTTCAGTGAATCCTCGTATTTTTCTGTAGCCACGCGATTGCGTCTTCAAAGCCATATTGTTCATACCGAATCTAGAGTACAGCAGAACAGCAATGTATTACGTGCTGAGCTATGCAGGCAGGTTAACTCAAATCGTGGTCTTATATACATACACAGTACAGTCGAAAATAACGCGTGTCCTCCAATTTCTGGCTGGCAGTGATAAGTCAATAGCACAGAGCCCCAATAGAGGATTGGCGCTCAGTCATTGGCTAGGTGAGCAGACCGGTAATTGCCATGAGAGTAAGTAGAGTCTTTCATATGTCTGATTGTGCAGTCAGATCCACAAGTCAAGTCAGATCAGAGTGTCTGTCTTTGGTCTGCTTTGATGTAAGTCGATTCTCGGCTCTCTGAGATCAAACTTGAACCTGGACCTGCCTCCCTCCATTGGGCGTCAGAAGTGCTAGGAAAGATTGTAATAATGAAAAAGAAGAAATCCTTTTTACATCCCTTTAAACTGTTTATATGAGTGGTATCTCTATCGCCGGTATCGCCTATTTGGGTGCTTTCTCTCTTAGTGCTGGACCAGGAATCCTTGTCCCGTTATACACACTGCAATACTTTTGTTTGTCTTTGTTTGTGATTGAAAACTAACTCTCGAATATCCTTCTAAGTTGTTACCATAGTCTATTGTTGATATGAATTGAATCCTTGCCTGAATATTTTACGTGGCGGAGAACATAGGGCCATCAAAGGCTCCGCTCTTCTTGTGATTGATCCATTGTAATATTATATGTCTTAACGCTCCTTTCACCAACTAGGAAGAGAAGGAATGGTATTCTGGGCATTGATTTGAATTTAGCTCAGAATCAGAGGCATCATTTAGGCTTGAGGATCTTTTACATGCAAGTAAATCTATGAACATGGGACAGCCGGCATTACTTCCCCTCCGAAGGAAGGCGTACGTAGGATTTTTTCGCCCTTAAAAATCCATGTCTTCGATCGGGTTTGAACCCGCCAACTTGGGTACAGCAGTCCAGTACGCTAACCGTTACACCATCGTCGCCGCTTTGTTATTGCCCCCATTGCCGCTATTGTTAAGGTCTTTTTAAACAATCCTTCTTTAGTGTTTTGCAAACAGAGTGGCACAATACCACTTTTTCTTCAATTATGATAAAGGAGTCAGTTAATCCCTGGCATTCCTCATCCCGATCTTCAAGGCGTGAGGAAAGTTATTTTATCCAGTCTTAGTATGGGTCACTGCTACTTTTCTCATGTTTCCTCCTTCGAGGTGAATCTCTCCCTCCCCCCCCCTCCCCCCTCCATCAGCGACTCATGCAGGATATTTCTTTCTTTGGGGAAATGTCCTCCTGCATTGTATGAGATTTACTGGCTTCCATCGAAAGCATAGCCTGGGCAACTATGGGAGGTGCTCAAATACGGGTCAACCAATGAATTTTGTTGTCTAAAGAGCTGAAATTTAAAATGTGTTAAATATAACTAATAAGGTTAAATTGAATATATATAACTGGGTTTAAGATCTGTAGATATAATTACATGATTTTTCTGGTAATTCTAACATATCTTTCTGTTGTTAGCACATCAAAAACAATATTGGAGGACTACAAAGAGGCTGGGTAAGTTTCTCCCCCTCAATCTCTTCATTAAATGTAGAATGCAATGCATGTAAACAGTTCCTAGGTATTTGTACCACAAGTGGGTGTGATTCTGTAGCAGTTGAACACAATAATAGTGAACATAACGCAATTCAAGAGGTCTAGTCTTTTCAAAATTGCCATGTTGGCGGACAGTCGAACGGATGGGCGAATGGACGGACAGGTGAACGGACATACATGTGGAAGGACAGATTGACGGGTGAATGAGTGGACAGACTGACGTATGGGTGGACTGATTGGAGGACCGACTGACGATCGGACAGGTATTAGAACGGTCGCACATACTGACTAAAGAATGCACTCCAGGTCGGATGCTCTGACTTACTATTTGGAATGAGACAAAACCTCTAAAGTGCCTATTTCCATCAATAAGCGATTTTTGCAACTTGTAACTTTATACCAATAATAGGAAATAGTAAAACATGCTTTTGTTTGTGACAACTATGTCGCCTACACCTTTCACCATTATTTGCTATTTCCCATTTGCCATAATTGCTATTTCCCGTTTGTTCTGACCGCTATCAACACCCTGCAAATTCGAAATTTGAATATTTTGGTAGGCGGTCTTTACAGGAAACTTACATTTTCAAAATATTCTCCAAAATGTTTATTTTTAAGTATGTGTTTTTAAACATCAATGCACAGGTATAAAAATGCTGAAAGTGCAAATTTTAACCCCTGAATTTTCAAATTCATATTTTCAAAATTTGCGGATGTTAGAAAGTTTGTACTATTTGATTCTGGATATTTTTTGTTTGAATAGATCAAAGTTTGGTGAATAATGACGTAGTTGATACAATTTTATTAAAATCTCTGAAATTTCCAAAATACCATAAGTTTTTTCTTCCGACCTACTCTACCCCTTCAATAGAAATATATTTGGTAATTTAAACAATTGTTCAATAAAGATCTTTAATTCATTTTAGGTATACTTTTTCAAAATTATTGTAGTTTTTGCGGAAGTTTGTAGAGACTATGGCCGGTTTTACATCAAGCTTCACTCCCGTCAGCATTGCCACTTAAGATGCCTGCTGCGCTTTGTCTAGAGTAGTCTCCTTTCGATGACTGTTTACAATTCCCCAAATATGAAAAAACAGGACACCTGCCATGAAATCCCACATTATATGCTAGTTCTTAATAATGAAATATGTAACAGAATATTTAATGGTGGGCGAATTCATCCATGGAGTGTTGCTGTCATATGATCTCAGCAGTGTCGTAACGATTAATAGATAAAGAATTTTGTTGGTAGGCGAAAATATATTAAAATTGGAAAATGAATAATAATTTGATATAGATAAATTGCATTAACTAGGTAGTTCATTGTGTAATATAAATGTGCAGGTGCAATTGACAACTGTTGATTCAAAAAGTAAATTAAAGTGAACACAAATACTTGTTCATTGTGAATATTAAAAAGAATCCTTAGCCACAATATAGGTAACAAGTAAATCCAACTATGCTTATAAACTTATTACTTAATGATTTATTTCTGTGATAAAACTTCAAATTATAATTTTTTTAATGCCCATCGAAGTGAGTCGGTCCATGTCCCGATGGTGGAATGCAGGGAGGGCTCTCAAGTATTCCTTTCTTTTACCGGTCATCTTTCTTCTCCCCCATTGTTCACATTCGTTCTTTAATAACATCCTGTCTATTTTCTTCTTTCCCTTCTATTTCACTTCTACTTCACTATTTCACATTTTTGTAAGTAGCTGAAAAAGAGCTATTGTATAGTTCTAGAAAAACAATTTTATTATTAAATTTAGTCTCTCATGATTTTTTATGTTCATAAGTTGGCTGTACCAAATGTATGTTAAGTTCATTTCGGCTTCCATACTTTTCTTTCTTTCTTTTTTTCCTTCCTTTCCTTTCCTTCTTTTCTTTGTTTTCTTTCTTTCCATTCTTTCTTTTTTTCTTTTCTTCCTCTCTTTCTTTCGTATTATTAGTTTTTGTCTCATTCTGTTACTGTACCTGCCACCAAGCGATGGTTTTTTAAACTAAAACTTATAAAAAAACTACCTATATAGTGCTATGGTCCCAGAAGACTAATCTCAGAATCGAATGTGACCGAGTTCAAACGTTTGATGTTAGTGAAAATTCAGCGTTCTCCACATCGCTGAAAGCAAGAAGTCTCATCTTCTTAACTAGTTTTCAATATAAGATCTGTTTTTACTAATAAAAATACAATCTGTCAGTGACATTGGTTTGTTATGTAGTAATCATAGACTGATGATTATGAATTTGTTTAAAACTTTTATTATTTAAGGTACTAACACTACTTGTTTGTTATACACTATTATGAAGGGGCCCGGATAAAAGTGTTACAGGTGGGCCCGCACTTTATTATGCTACTGATCGTCATTTCATTCTGTGCTGTGTGTGGTACAAAATTTTAATTTAGGGCAGTTTCCATTTGTGCCTGTGCTGACAATAGCATGATTTGTTCAGCAGATCGCCTACACTGAGAGCCAGTACATCCAGTTGCGGTGAATTTCACAGCAGTTACTCCTCAGAATACCCTGTGACATATGTTACATTTAATATCAGCAGAGTCCTCAAACAAAGATTTACGTATTGAATAAAAAAGAAAGATACCTTCACTGTACTCTGTCTTCAGTAACTTATGAAAAATTGTACCCATGAAAGCTTTTTCATTCACAGCATGTTCTAATTTATTTTATTAACATATTATTAAAATAAGTTATAATATAACTTATTTTATTAAAAAATTAGGCAGGTAAGAATCAAATTTTTTCTATCATGAATAGAGATTCTAATTTTATTTAAATTTGTTTTGGTTGGGGGTATTTCACCTTGCTTGAACAAATATGCTACTTTAATGAACACTTGCATCCTAAAAAATCCTTAATTACTCTCTTCATAATTAATGTCTTCAAACAGAAATTAATCAAATAAAGATACCTCAAAAAGAGAATGCTGGCTAAAACGTTTCATTTTTGCTGCCGATTTGCCTTCAAAAACTAAATTTGTTCTAACTTTGTAGTTTGTTTTTGAAAAAGTTAAATCAATTTGAAATAGTAAGTGAACGAATACTATTATAAACAAATTTGTAAAAAGGCGGCCAATTTTCACAGAAAACTGTTGAATTTTAGGGAAACTTTCTGACATTATTTAAAGCACATGTTCTCATTGAAAATGAGACCTACACCATTCTCTTAAACGTCCTTTGCACTATTGAACAATTTAATCAAAAAATTTGGAGCCTTTTTTTGTTGTTGTTAATTTTGAAAATGTCCTGAGGTTTCATGTAAGGTACCACCACCCTCAAATTAAAATATCAATTTCGAATTCAAGATCTGTGACATCAGCTAGGACAATTAGAGAATATCAATTTTGGAAAAATTAGGCCAAACGGTTTATGTGCTAGTGTTGTGCTCATTAAGCAATTAACAAAAATGTTCACAAAAACTGCCGACTGCTGTTCACCCACTGCACCACTGTTCATCGCAATACACACTTTACAGCACAGCTTCCACTTCAGACACACTGACGGACTGACTGCTTATTCACTGATTACATACTAACTGATTCGCGGCTGCTTACTTCTGACTACTAGTTACACTGGCTTACACTGACACACTTACATTGACTTACACTGACTGACTACTGACTTACACTAACTTCTTACTGTCTGACTACTCCTCTTGAAACACCCATAGTCGACTGCTGTTTACTTTTGGGCTCATACGCTTAAATCCACGATTCATCACCTGTCACGATGTCATAGACGTGTTTCGAAGTACCGCGATCATATATTTTTAGCATTTCTTTCGACCAATAGACACAAGCCTTTTTTTGAGCGATTGACAAATTGTGTAGGATCCAACACGAACAAATTTTTTTGACAGTCAAATGTTCATGCTGCATTGAATGTATGCTGGTCCCACCAATTCCTAAGGTTGGCTCAATATCACGATAGGTCACATGACGATCTTGCAATATCAGTTCACGCACAGCATCAATGGTTTTCGGAACAACAACTGATTTTGGACGACCTTCGCGAAATTCGTCTTGGAGTGAACTAAGACCACGATTGAATTCACCATACCATCAATAAACACTGGTCCTTGATGGAGCTTCATCGCCAAAAATTGAATTAAGTTCATCCATGCACTGTTGCTGAGTTAATCCACGTCGAAAGTTGTAAAAAATAATCGCACGAAAATGTTCACGATTTAATTCCATTTTTGCATTTCTATTGCGTAGAGATAAGGCTCATGGTGAGGGAACTCTTGAGGACCCGATTCGGTACGGATAAAACTTTGTGCTGCTTGAAAACACTATTCCAAGTTAATGTAGTAGTACAATATAGCGGAGCAGTTAGAAATAATGCGAGAAAATATGTGCTGTTGGAGCATTTTTAGTCTTATATTTAGTATTATATCTGTTAAAAAAACAGTTCTTTAAAAAAGATCAGTGTTTTGAAAATGAGTAGGCTAGCGTAACTTTACAATTTTCAAAATTGCAGGTTCGATTTTCTCACATTTCTTGCGCTAGAATATTTCACGAGTTATTGGGTTGCATTACAACAATGAGAACGCAGGTTTGAAATTGCAATTTGGGACGTAAGATTAAAATTCTCATAACTTCATTGTTGGATAGTGTTCCTTGGTGAATGGAACAGTGTTTGAATTTGTGTTGATGTATAAGCTTATATTTTCCTGCCCAGTGCGGTGCGATTGATTGGTAATGGAGTTTTGCAAATGATTACTGTTAGTGACAGCATTAGTGTGTTGTGATGGTGTTAGTTTTCGCACCTAATGTTCTACGATTTGTAGCGAGTAGAGCCTGGAAGTTCAGACAGAAAGGCCTTAATTTTTACTAAAGAGGGATTTGAGGCCATACCCAAAAGGAGGATGGGATTCTTCGTGAGCGATTAAAGTATGTTGGCAGCAATGAAAAATAAATCAAAAATAATTTTTAACACACCCTCTGCAATCACAGAAATATACAATCGGTGCTTCAGGTTGCCAAGGCTTGCAGGTACATATTCAGCTTAATCGAAATCTCTGCCAGGAGAAAAAGCAAAATAATGATACAAAAGGCGAAAATAATTGTAAAAAACAAAAGTATACAAAATGTACTAAAACAACTCCAGAAAAACTAGTAAGTGATCCTTATTGTCAAAAGTCATGAAATATTAAATGAAAAGACAGTTATCAAAACTTCTGGCTCTAGGTATTATAATACTACATAACAGTAACTGATGCAGGAAAGTACGAGCTGTTGAAGCTCCTAGTTTTATTTAATTGGTTTATTGTCATTGAAGAACAATAAAAAAAATATATTGACTTGTGGGAAGTGCCAGAGTTAGACAACAGGCCCTGGATGAAATTTTAAAAATGTGAAAGTTGTCTCAAGAAACTGCTATTTCATTTCAATTCGGGATATTCAGTCCTAAACGTCAATGAAAATGTGTGGTCAATGGTGTGTCTCTTCATACATACTTGTATAAACAGGATTGAGCAGTACTTAAATACTTGTATTTTAAGTAAATTTTGTTTTTGAAAACCGTATATTGAGTTTTTTTGGGTGTGTATTTTAGACATGTATTTAAATACACAAAGTAGGTGTATGTAGAAAAGAAATACTTTAAATACATATGAAGAAGAAAAAGATACCGAGTATGGTTTCATTATTGATTCCGCTTGTCAATGTACCTCACTTAAACAAAAATAAAAGTTCTTCCCAGCTGTTTAATTTGAATTATCTTAGTATTTAAATAATAAATCTAAATTAACAATGCTGAAACTGACAATAAAAAAGCGTTTGTTCCTTATAACAGTGGTCTGGGTTTGCCCATGCCAGTTGAACGATAGTTTTATATTGCAGGTTTTAAAAATTTGCCAACAAAGTGTTATTTGCCTGAAATTTGTTTGAAAAATTAATCGTTCCATTTGAAGTAAATGGAAATTCCATTAATTTGTGTTAGTCGTCTTTGTATCATTTTATATTTGAAAATGTTTACTACAGTTCGTTATTCAGAAATTGGATGACTATTATGTACTAATTTATTGTAATTGACAATAAAAATATGTAATACAAATTTATGGTATTTACTGTATTATACTTAATGTATATTGATTATTTGATGTATTTTAAATACGTACGTATGTGTGTATATATCTAGCAAACCAAAATCTGATGTACTTTGAGTATGTATTAAAATACTAAATTTAAAGTATTTTGCCAAACTATGCGTGCGTGCGCGTCAACTTATAAAAAATTTCGATAATGATTTTCTCGAGTTCTAATTTCTTTTTCAATTTTTTAAAATTTTCATTAATCCCATCATCGTGCTCCTGGACTTGCGAGGCCTCGGACGATCATGGCTTGCTCATTACATTAAGTATTTTCTTACCTGTTATCAAGTTTGATGTAATAATTTGGTATTTCTGTGGATGCTTTTGCAGATGTGCAAGTTTCCTTGTGACGCCCAAGGGGCCTTGGATACTCCCTCAGCCACAGACAATCTGCCGCAAGGTTTGCTGGAGCCTGTTGAAGTAAGCAATTTTATTGAATTCCGGAGAAGCTATTGCAATTTTTGTCCTAAGTTAAGACTTCCCTTCAAATGCTTTTGTGTTTCGGGACGAAGACATTGAAATTATGTGATGAATTGTAATGTTAGAAATTAAATAAAACGTGTTTTACATGAACTAATCCTTCATGAGGAAAACTCATTGTGAGATTTAATAAAAACTTCAAAACTAATGTGATTCCTGCTGTAATCTTATTTTCGGTTGCGCAAATAATCCACGCATGTATTATTGAATGTCACGGTTCAAATACCTGGTAATTGTAGGAATTTATGCATCGGGGTCATTGCAACCATTTTGTTTTCAATTTTTTAAAACTTTGTTGCTTTTTCCTTGGCGCAACGCGTCTCTGAACACTTGTGCTGGTGTGGAACTACTTGCGCTGGTGTGGAGTACTATTCCCTTATTATTTGTGTCAAGTTTCAACACGTTGCAGTCAGCTCCCTTCATCCCTTCAGTTAGGGCTCGCTGCCGTTGGATGTCCGAGTTCCTAAACAGTCACCTAACCAGGAATCCTCGAACTCTCCAATTCCCTTAATATCCGTAGTAAACGAACTCGGTTAGCAACGCCGAAAAAATGATGTAAATGATTATTACATATATTAATATTTTGCTTTCTTTTAAATAATTGTATTTCCTTTATGTATATTTAGTGTATTATCTGGATTCAAATAATGGATTAAATAAAGAAACTGCACTTTTTCATCTGATTCACGCAGAAAATCAACTTCTCGATACTCTACGATATCTTAAACTCTGCAACTAAATGCATTCAAATATGCGATTAGTGTTTTTAGTTAATTTAAGTGTTACATCTAGATTTTTAACCAATTTTGACTGTCAGTGATAAGACAAAATTTACATAATTACACTTGATATCATTTAAATGTAATGATAGATATCTAATAAATGAGTTTATTAAAAACCTACGCTTTTCTTGCCCTCTTCATAATTTAAAAACAACAGAAATTAAAAGAAAAAATTTTCTTTTGGAATTTAGTTTATTCATTAATTTTCATTAGAATTGATTGTTACTAAGATATTTGCAAAAACCATAGAAAAATTACCATTAAAAATCTCTCTCTCGCAACACACACACACTCTGCTCTGCTCTCTTCCTTTCTCCTCTTTCTCTCTCTTTCTCTCTCTTCTCTTTCTCTCTCTCAACTTTCTCTCTCTTCGATTTCTCTTTCTCTCTCCTTTCTTCTCTCTTTCTCTTTTCTCTTTTCTCTCTCTCTTTCCTCTCTCTTTTTCTCCTCTCTTTCCTCTCTCTCTCTTTCTCTCTCTCTTTCTCTCTCTCTTTCTCTCCCGCTTTTTCTCTTTCTTCTCTGCTCTTTCTCTCTCTCTGTCCTCTCTCTTTTTCTCTCTAATCTCTCTCTTTCTCTCCTCTCTCTTTCTCTCTCTCTTTCTCTCTCTCTTTCTCTCTCTTTCTCTTCTCTTTCTCGTCGTCCATCTTTCTCCTCTCTCTTCTCTCTCTCTCCTCTTCTCTCATCGTCTTTTCCTCTCTCCTCTCTTTCTCTCTCCTCTTTCTTCTTTCTCTTTCTCTCGTCTCATTTTCTTTCTCTCTCTCTCTCTTTTCTTTCTCATCCTCTCTCTTCTTTCTCTTCTTCTCTCTCTTTCTCCTCTCTCTCCCTCTTTTCATCGTCTCTCTCTCTCACTCTCTCTCCTCTCTCCTTTCTCTCTCTCCTCTCTCTCGCTCTTCTCTTCTCTTTCTTCTTCTCTCTCGTCTCCCTCTTCTTTTCTTCTCTCCTCTCCTCCTCTTTCTCTCCTCTCTTCTCTCTTCTTTCTCTCTCTCTTTCTTTCTCTCTTCTCTTTCTCTCCTCTCTCTATTTTCTCTTTTTTCTCTCTCTCCTCTCTTTCTCTCTCTCTGCTCGTCATCTTTCTCTCTCTCCTCATCTTTGTGATTTATTTCACTCAGTTTGCTTAATTTGATTGGAATGCTATTTTGATCATTTGAGAATGCATTTTCGATTTCCTTAGTGGTTAAGTTGATTGTGAATGTTTATCAACTTCTCATAATCTCAGTTTCACAAATATATTTTCTTATTTTCAGCCATCACCTGTAAACTTCTTGGGGGTACAAACTCAGGAATATTTTAACTTGCAAGATTCAGATAAATTTACCGGATCTACAGTAGCAGAAGGCACTATTCATCAAAATCAGCCAATCCATATAATTCAGCAAGGTAATTCAGATTTTTCAGTCGATAAGTTCTTGGAGAGAGTGAGGTAAGTAGAAACCTAATTGGAAGGCGTAAATGACATATAAGTAGTGCAGCATCTCAGGAATAGAAATGATTTGAATCACAGGGATAGAAACATGAATAACACATGATGTGTGTCAATTCGTGCATGCACATGGATAATACAGAAATGTTATCCAAAACTATCATTTATGACTTTGTTTTTAGCAGTGTAAATCACCTCTGTTGCTCCCACTGTTGAGAAAACAATTAACTTTACATAGCACAGGGAATTTAAATCCAATTTCAATTTCACTTGCCACAGTATTTATGTATTCAGACAGGATAAGAAATGAATCCTTCTTGTAGTGTATCTCTGCCCTGGCTTGGCCTATTTAACGCCAAATTGCTCATATTCATTCCACTCCATTCTACACTCCCCTTTCTGCCTCGCCTGACCCTGTTCCAGCCTTCCTTAACTTGCCAACTATGATATGATTACAGTTGCTATTATCCTGGAAATTACTTACCAGTTCAGTAGTAATGATTTTGTCGAGATGGATGAAACTCCTAAGAATTTTATTGATAAAATAATTTGTTTTGAAGTGATAAAAAGCACGTTTAATTCTTCCAAAGACTTGTATGTATGTTTTAAGTGTATTGTCAGCTAAAACTCAATATGACAAAAGAACTAGTTGTGCTCCAACAGCACGTACTCTCTCGCATTTAGCAACGAAATATAACACCACAATTTCTGTCCATATTTTCACACTTCAGTCATCACTTGTAAAACTTACAACTTACGAATTGTAGAACATTAGGTGTGAACAGTAAACGTTGTATTGGGATCGACAAAGAAATGCATATTTTAGTTTTAAGCCATTAGAAGTTAATAATATGACCTGGAGTGGCGGTGGCGGCTGTCATACGGGCCGATGTCCGTAGCACGGCATTGTTAAAGCAACTAGCTGTGCTACAGAATGGCACAGTCTTTCCTGTATTAGTTTCCTATTTCCTTTGGTCTCGGTTAGCTATTCAAACTTGCCACATATTCTTGCCTGCTGCCATCTATACAAAGTATAGATACAAAATACAAAACCATATTTTTGAAATTTTCTTAATTTTTCGGTTTCCTAATTGTAGAGCGGAAATATTGTTTTAAGATTATCAGATGTTTAAAATATCTGATGTTAATGTTGCTCGTTTACTTGAAGACGACCTAAATCGAATGATATCATGAAAACAAACAAAAACAAACTTGAACTAAATGTAAACAAATGTAAACTACTTCGTTGTAATCGTGGCCATACTGAAGTAACAGTAGATTATAGTATTCAAAATACAATAATTGAATCTGTTCCACACATTAAAGATCTGGGAGTAATCATGGATACCAAAATGTCTTTTAATAAACACATTCATTACATCGCCAATGCTTCACTGAAAAAACTTGGATTTATTAAAAGACAAACTGGTAAATTTAAATCAATGAAAACGATTAAAACTCTTTATAATTCCCTTGTCAAATCAAAATTGATGTATTGTTCTTCAGTCTGGTCACCAAATGCTGAAAATCTTAGCAAAAAGATAGAACGAGTTCAACATCTCTTATGTAGCTTTCAAATTAAAAAAACCTAATCAGAGGTATAATCATGAATACAGTGAAATATCTAGCTATTTGCAAATTCCGACTTTGTCATCCTCGAGAATAGTACACAATGTGTTATTTATGAATAAATTATTGACTGGAAAAATTAAAAATACATCACTTCGAAATATGTATCCATTGTATGACTATCCATACACAATGCGAAGATCTACTCTACTGAGAGAATTTGACTGTGTATGTGTATATGTCTCTCTCTCTCTCTCTCTCTCTCTCTCTCTCTCTCTCTCTCTCTCTCTTCTACCTAACAAAGAGTTTTTAAAAAGTTCAACATGTACAACCTTTTCGCTGGGATGTATTTGAGCATAGGTTGTTTCGCCCATACGAACGTTAGGTGTCTTGAATCATTATCACCATTGGATAAAATCAAAAATGTCTGTGTCAAGATATTTTCTCCAAAGCCACTCATGAACCCCCTTACTGTACAGTCTTTTCTCCAACACATATGACTCTATGAAGAAGGGTGCTCGCTAAAACAGAATGTATTGCCGAGCGGAGTGTTTTCCGTTCACTCGTTTGTGAAATCGAAGTCGCAGAATTTCCTTCGGGCATCATATAAAGGTTGCAATTTGAACTATCTGTATCATGTTGACTGCTGTACGCCCCACTACTTTGATGGGCGTAATAGAGTTGTTTTGATGATCATAAGACTTCTAGAAAGTGTTGCTGACATTCAAATTCTGTGAGTAACGAATGTAGATGATGTTTAATGTATATGATAAGACGGTGGGACTTACAAATTGTTTCACCAGTTACATTTGAGAAATTTAACAGTGCATTATAGGTTCAAGGACAGGGACAAAATGTATGTCGGAAAGATTTGAGATACACGACGGCTATTTCTTCCTGTTTCCCCATTTCTCCAGATTCCACATCATATCAAAACAGCCCGATCTAGTAGTTTCTATTTTTCTTCTTTCTTCCAACCCCCATCAAGTCCCATCAAGTTTATCTTCAAAATCTTTCACAGCATATCTTGCTTGGTTGGGCTCGAATGGTATATGAAGAAGCATGATTTGCTAGACTATAGAAGCTTCCTTGGGTGCACTATTGATCAGTTCCTTAGAGACTTGTACATGTTCTTAATTTACTGGCATGTCTGCTTCCAGAGTATTTGTTCCGATATTATGGCTTATAATCGCATTCTTTGATAATTTTTTCTTCTATATTTCCACGAACAGTTTTGCTCAGCGATATGGAAGTAATAGGCAGTCTTGTGGCGGCTAACTGGTGCCTGCCACACATTTGAGCTCCCGCATGGTTTTCTCATGTATTACCATGAGAGTGGCATTGTTGATGGAAGTATTCCCTTAGCAATTCCATTGTAACATTCTCACTTGCTTCTGCATGTCACACTAGTGGAGTGATAAGGGCCTCAAGTCCTGTTTTCAATTTAGGGCACTATTATGAAACGACAGGAGTGTAATCCATGCAAATAAAGAGTTATTACCTCTGGCCGCGTGCGGCGGTGGCGCACGGATTGCGTTGAATGTCTTTTCCTCTACAACAGTGCAATATAAAGTTGATGACCGCAAGTAGTAAAGAAATTGCGAGAGGCGAAGGGATATTAGGCAATACACAGTAGTATATGCTCAGGAATTATAAGAGTAGAGCGGGTCTAGACGTTTATACTCCGTAGGCTACAGTCCTTTTTTGATGGCTTTGTTCCTCCACCCTACAAACGAATTTGAAATTGAAAATCGAGGGGTAATCAGTCAGTAACATTCTACCCACACGAGTATCCCCAGCTTAGTGTAGCAGTTATTTGCTCACTCTTGTTTGGTGGGGTAAGCCAGACACAGGACATGGCACCGCTTTGCAGAGGAAAAGACATTGGCCATATGCGTGACAACCTCTCGGTGTCAGTCTGAAAGCTAGTAGAACCTGTAGGCGAGCATGAATCACGCACTCAGATGATGTGAACTAGTCGCAGGGGTGACACGCCCGCAGGCAGCTTGAAATTATTCACTAAAGATGAAAAGGTACCCATTCCTGTGTTCCCCCTCATTTATGGACGTAAGCATATGCTTATTTAATGCAGGGAAAAAGTTGCCTTTTTTTCCTTGGTTGTAGGATTCTGTCTCGACGGCGGCAATATTTGTCTGAGTTTCCTCATGGGATCGTGCTAGGAAACTGGGGCATATGCAATGATGTGTGGTGCCTGATTGTAAGGTCCGGCGTTTGATCCTTTCCCCCTCACTTTCCTTATGGTCATTAGCTTTGAGTAGATGTACAAGTGAAGTAGAGGCAAGTGATACATAGAAGAACAGCCACTGTTATACTCGCAGGATGATTCTTTTATGTAGATATTTTCATGGGTGACAGACTGCAGCTTTTCCTCTTGTGTACAACGGATACTAGTGTGTTGGCTTGCCACGTGCATTACGGAAACACTCAACGTCTGTATACTACTGCTTCGGAAACACAGTGGTGTGAGAAAACATCGCTCTTGAAACTCTATCGGGTCGTTGTATCTGACCAGATTCATGAGTTCCTAGTGATTCCAGAGATTCCGGTTCCAGACAGAACATTGCTTGCGCGACATCTCGATTTCAAGGACCCAATTGGAGAGAAAGGAGAGAGGCATACGTACAGCTTACGCCATTGTGACTCGCGCTACATCGCAGATGGGATTTTCATTTTGAAAAGAATAGCTGAGGTTTAGGTTAGAAACTCGTACCTTGTGTGATACGTGTTGTGGCTTTTGTTTCACACTTAGCTTTAATCTGTATGTAGAAAATTGGGTGTACGTGTAAGAAATAGGTGGAGAAGAAATTTAAAAGTCAGATAATTCGTCGTCTTTCATTTGTATTTGTTTTCTCCCTCCCACCCGGTAACAAATCATTAAATATCAAATGTTACTAGCCACACACACTGCTGTTATTATCGGAGTGTTTTAGTTTCATTTTTTTGCAGACTTTTAGCACATTGATGTCTCCTTTTTTAGACAGCTGACTCGCATTCAGTGTGCCTTTGTAGTAGATGCCATCAGTCACGCCTGGTGTAATCACTTGAAGTTGTAGACCTTGGATTTTATCTTTCACATGGCACGGAATCATTTATTGGAATGATTCAATCACTATTTTCTACATGGTCTCTACCCAGAATCTTCTTATTACATTTGTTTCCTTCTGACTTAATCTTGCCCAAGAACCTTAACTCCTAACGACAAAAAATCAACCATTTGCGCACCGCACGCGGAGAGTAGGGCTCGTGTGCACTCCACTTAGGGGATATTTACAAAATACTTTCTTCGCTTGGGGTAGTTCGCAGTGTGTTGCTCAATACTTGAGGTTCAAGAGCCAGGGACTCAATATATCTCCACTTGTGTCGGCAG